AGAAAGGCTCCTGTGTGTTTACAGACAGTGTGTCCCCTGATGAAGTGCTGCTCTGTAAACACACAATTTTAATTTTAAATTTACATTATAGTTTAAATTATTTTTAAGTAAATATATATTGTTACTAGTTTTTAGTTATTGACACAGTCCCTTTAAAAAATTATTTCTGTAAAAGTCTGAAATTTAATCAGAAATGCTTTACATTTTTAAATTGATTATTTTAAAATTCGACTAATTTATATTGTGATTAACTCAAATTTAAAAAAAAAAAAGTTTGCTATTGAAGTTTTATGCAGTTTTAAAAGAATATCTAGTGAGCAGTGACATTGAACTGTTTTCCGAGGAAGATTTGCGTCCCTTAATGATCACTGCCTCCGTCATCCAATCCTCTACCCCACCAGCTTCCAATATGCTTAACTTCAGGCTGGCAATGCCATCTTTCTCTGCTGAGAGAGCTAATGAAAGACCTTTCTCAGTGAAAGGCGAGTGTTAGTTTGCTTACAACAAGAGCTCAGTGCACAGGTTTTGCTAAAAATGTAGGTATTTTAAATTTTATCGACATATTTGAATTAAGTTTTAGTTTCTTTTTCAATAGAACACCATCCACCAAAAAATAATATTCCTGTTTAATGATTTATTGCTGACAAATTTAAGTCCTAAATCATTTCTACTTTAAAATTATTAAATCTTTGTATAATCTAAAATTTCGAAAGCAGGTAAATTAGTAATTTTGGCAAAGCAATTTTTGATCTTAATATTCAAGAGCATTAACGCCTTAGCCTGTAACATAATTGGTTGGTTAATTGGGTTTTATTGGCACAAGAGCCAGAAATGGCTATACTGCGGCAGGCACTAAGTCGGTTTCTAGGCCAAACTACTGTGTTATTTTAAAGCAGAAAATTGTAAAATAATTGATTAAGAAGTATTATGAATACTAAAAAATGGAAAGTTAAAATAAATAAAAAATAAAACAAAAAAACAGCAATAACTATATGCATACCCAGTTTTGAGATAGACATAAACAAATTCGGACATAGACAATTACTAGTATATTTGAAGTATAAGCAAATATGTGTCCTTAAGATAAGCCTTCACAACAGGATGATCAAACGGGTGTGTTTATACCAGGCAATTTTTCACTTTTAACTTTGCAAGTACTCCCCACGTTTAGGGGAAGGGACTCTACTAGGAATTTCTTGACAGCCTACGAGATTCCGCGTCACAGTGGCAATGGACAGAGTCGGAAAAATTTATTGCATTAAAAGATAGGTTGTTTGGAAAGACATTAACAATTTTAAAACGTTGAAATTGTCTTGTTGGAGATGTAGTCAATAAGTTGAATAACAGGAGAATGAGTGATTTCCAGGCACAATCAAAGACGTTGAAATTCTCGTGACTCGTTCTTTGGAGGGAGAACTGATCACAGCGCGGACGAAAGTGTGTCCTGAGTGATCGTGACAGACGATCATTAAGGGCAATTGTGACGAAATATAGGAAGACCACAGCCGCAAAAGTTACTGCTGAAATGAATGTTGTGTTACCGAACCCTGTGAGTACCAAAACAGTTAGAAGGGAGCTTCATAAACAGGGAATTGCTGGCCGTGCTGCAATTGAGAAGCCACTCATCAGTGATGCTAATGCCCGCAACAGGAAAAGGTGGTGTTTAAGTTATAAAGCCTGGACTATAGAGCAGTGGAAGCGAGTAATATGGTCTGACGAGTCTTCTTTCACATTGTTTCCCACTTCTGGCTGAGTTTACGTCTGGAGAACGCCATCTCAAACCTATAATACAGACTGCTCGTTGCCAAGAGTGAAACATGGCGGGGGTTCTGTTATGGTTTGGGCAGCCATATCGTGGTTCTCTGCTGGCCCCATGATAACTGGTGTCAGGGCACATGACTGCCAAGACTTGTAAACATTTTGGCCGATCAAGTTCATCCCATGGTACAAACTTTGTTCCCCGATGGTGATGGTGTCCAAGACGACAAAGCCCCTGTTCACACAGCTCACATTATCCAGGACTGGTTTTCTGAGAACAAGGATGAGTTGTCCAATCTCCCCTGGCCACCACAGTCACCAGACCTAAATATTATCGAACCTTTGTGGTCTACATTGGAACGGAAAGTGCGTTCTCGTTATCCACCCGCCAACATCGTTATCTGAATTTGCCACCGTTTTGCAGGAAGAATGGTATAATATTCCCTTGGCAAACATACAGGAACTGTATTTATCCATTCCGAGAAGACTGCAAGCTGTTTTGGATGCCAACGGGTTTTCTACACCATATTAAGCAAAGAAACATGTTTTTTTGAAGGTGTTTCCATATATTTGTCCAACCCCTGTATATTCATCTAAAAAATAATGTCCATCAGTGTAGGAACTATTTATAAATTAATACTGCAGCAAAAGGTTAAATACAAAAATTCTAAAACTTTCTTGCAGATTAAAAACAAGTTAATAAAGTCATAAAATGTTTTAAAAAAGAAATTAAGTGCATATATTATGATGTCTTACAGAGGCCGGTGCGAGCAAGAAAGCCTGTAAAGCATTTCAGGGCGGAGTGTTCAAGCCTAGAAAAAATATGCTACAGGTAACCAAATTCATAAACTCTCCTAGATTATATTCTAACTTCATGAAAGTACTTTAATACGTCATAAACGTGTTAACTCAAAATTGAGCATACTTTTTATTTATTTCAGAAGGGCACGAAATGCCGAAAAAATCAGAAAATCAAAATATGCAAAATAACTCAAGTGGCCTATGCTCAGGAGGAAAGACGAAGAGCAAAAGAGTTCCAACAGCAAAGGGATCGGGAAGAGAAAAAGAAGAGGAACGAAGAGAAGAGGCGAATATTTTCCGAGGATAGCACGCTGGTGACCTCCCTAGCCAATGAGACAATGGTTCAGCTGGCTTCAAGATTCGTTGACAGGATGGCGCAGGGCTTATCGTTTGATGAAGCCCGAAGTCAGCTGGACACGGACATCCAAGAGAGAAGTGGGGAGCAACGAAGATCCATCCTGGAATCATTGAACCGGTCATTTCCTATTGAAGAGGAAGAAATAGCACAAGAAAGCTCATCCTCTCCTGCCACCCGCGATCGATCGCCAATCGGCATACCGTCTCCACCACAGTTGCCAGAGAAAACACCACCCTCTTCTCCCATAGAGCATTCAACTATAAGTCCACCACCCCCTCTTTCTCCACCTTCATCTGCAATTAGACCTTCAACACCAAGAGTCGAGTCACCACGACCGCAGACACCGCCTCAACAGCATCAGCCACCTGGTGCGCAACGAAGGAGACGAGGTAATCCTGGAAGAAGGAGTACTGAATTGGAACTCCTACTAGACTCAAGCAAAAACTTCTTGGGACAACCCCCCCTTCAGTAGACTTAGAAGGAGGCCACGGTTTCTTGGGAAATACCCAAAGTAAGTCCAAGCCCAGCGTCGTTTTAATCCAAAGACCAGCGTCATTAGATCTCCACCGAATCCCCTTCGGTGAGCTGACTACCGATGAAGAACGTTATGAGTTCGCAAATCTGAGAGAGATAGGGGCAGATGAAAAAGACATTGACGTTATTCTCCAATACACAGAAAAACACATATCGTACCCCGGCACGAAAATTGACAAAAGTAAAACAGAAATTTTGAGGATATGTCAATAAAAAATATGTATGAAGTGCCTCATCAAGCTCAAAAAGTGTCAGTTTTGAGTCGATTGATTGAATGTAGAGGTTTTATGGCACAAGATCCAAAGGAGGATATGCTGCGCCAAACAATTTGTTGAGTCAGATCTAATGGTAAATTACNAAGTATTCGACAAAACGCGTAATATATTCAAAGTCTTCTCACACCGTTTTCTTAGATGTAAAATATGAGGCTTAAAAGTGAGTTTGTGATCAAATATAACACCTAAAAACTTTAATTCGGATACAACGGGTATAGTAATGTTGTTAATAGATATAACAGGATCAAAATGTATTCTGCGTAATTTACAAAAGTGAATGCAAGAGCTTTTAGCGGGTGAAAGGGCATGACCATTTTGCTCACACCATTCCACAATTTTATTTACAGTCAACTGCAGTTGACGCTCAATGACGCGCATGTCAGATCCTGTACATGACACGTTCAGATCGTCAACATATAGTGAACCAAATACGGAAGGAGGCAGCACGTTCAAGATTTGTGATACATGAATAATGAAGAGTATGACACTTAAAACACTGCCTTGAGGGACGCCTTCAGTCTGACTGAAGAGATCAGAAAATGTAGTTCCCAGCTTTACTCGAAAATACCGCTTCGACAGAAAGTTCTTGAGAAAGATGGGTAGATTTCCACGAAGTCCCAAGTCGTAGAGTGTCTTCAAAATTCCGTACCGCCATGTCCGATCGTAAGCCTTCTCAATATCAAAGAAGATAGAGACGAAATGGTTACGTTGAACAAAGGCGTTACGAATTCTTGACTCAAGAGCAACGATGTTATCAATTGTGTATCTTCCCTTACGAAAACCGCTCTGGAAGTCAGGTATGAGATGATTTTTTTCGAGGTAGTATACCAGGCGAGAGTTGACCATCCGCTCAAACGTTTTCCCAAAACAGCTGGTTAAAGCTATAGTACGATAGTTAATAGGATCCTTAGGGTCTTTACCTGGTTTTAAGATGGGTATCACACTTGCTTCACGCCAACCTGACGGGTACGTTTGTTCCGTCCATATTCTATTGAATAGAACGAGAACATTTGACAACGACGTCTGATCTAAGTGGCGGAGCATGTGATAGGTGATAACATCAGGACCAGGGCTTGTATTATGAGACTGATAAAGGACTCTCTGTAATTCTACAAAATTAAAATTACTGTTATAGTGGAAGAGGCGGCGCGTATTAAAGTTTATGTTATTTCGTTCGGCGATCTGCTTATGGTATTGAAATGCTCTACTGTAACTCTCTAGACTAGAGACAGAAGCAAATGTGTCACCAAGCATATTACAGACGTCGACAGGAGATGAGTAAATGGTACGTACCGTTTCGTTTGAATACCGGAAGGTGAAATTCACTGTATATGCCGTTAGCCCTTTTGACTCTCCTATTGCCTAGAACTTGCCTAGAAGAGACGTAACGGCACCAAGAATCTCTCTGACTATTGCGCCTGACCTTTCGTGCTATTGCTTTAGCCCGTTTGAAGGCTAAAAGGTTAACAGTATTAGGATAACGACGGAAGAAGTTCTACAAGCGTCTCTGCTTTTTGTAAGCAGCAGCACATTCCTCATTCCACCACGGCTTGCGATAGCGAGGAAGCGAACTTGACGACTTGGGTATACTATCTTCTGCCGCTTGGAGAATTACAGACGTAACCCGATCAACTGCTGTATTTATAGTATCATGTGTGACTATATCATCCGTGATCTGAGCAAGCTGGGCAAATTGTGGCCAATTAGCGTGATGAAATATGAAAGTTGATGGTCTTCGGCTCATGGGAACTGATGCAGAAAATGAAATTAAGAGAGGGAAATGATCGCTGTTATGAAGATCATTGCTTACTGAAAAGTTCAAAAAAGGTAAGAGATTTGGCGAACATAATGCTAAATCAATGGCGTGAAAGGTTCGAGTAGGTGAATGAAAGTATGTCTCTTCGTCTGTATTAAGCAAACAGAGATTATGGTCATGGATGAGATGTTCAATTTTATGCCCTCGGTCATTAGAGGCGGAACTACCCCACAATTCACCGTGACCACTAAAATCTCCGAGTAAAATAAAAAGTGAAGGTAACTGAACTATCAGAGAGTTTAAATCTGTTTGAGCGCCGTCCTACCATGCCGGCTCAATTCACGTAAGCAAATGCACGGGAGTGAAGGCTAAACCTGACCTCCCGTTCAAATGCAATGAGTGCCCCAACCTCTCCTTCGGGAGTAAGAGGGGATTAACTCAACACCAAAGGCACCGGCACCCGTCAACACTCAATGCAGGGAGGTTGGAGCAAGAAGAGAGGAAGCGTGCAAGAAGCTCAGGCGGAAGAGTGTGGAGCACCGCTGAGGAGCTCCTGTTCTGGACGCTAGAGAAGAAGCACCACTGGGACAGGAGGACTTTACTAGGACGCCTGAAGGAAGTCTTTCCGGATAAAACGGAACGACAAATAGTGGACAAGCGGAAGGCCTTGCGAGAGAAAAATCGAGAGGGGACGCTTTCAGCATCCCTTCCGAATATTCTAGCGAGTCAGGAACCGATTGCGAACGGTACCCCACCAGCCGCCTCAACCGAGGAACTGGACGTCCCTACAACACTAGGAGACACGGATACATTCCTTAGGGAAGTGTCCGAGAACACCGTTACTCACAAAGGGACGTGCGCCCACATAGGAGCTGACCGGTTTGGACGACGAGATTGGAAGTGGGTGGTCAAAGATACCAGATCCCTCGTAGCACGGATGCTGCTACTCCAGCCACCTAAGAAACCAGGAAGGAGCAGGCCACCGGGTTTAAAGGTAAAAGGGAGGGCCAACAATAAGCATAGCAGTCGTAGAGCCGAAAGGTTCCGCGGCTTTCAACAGCTATTCAACGGCAAGAGTAGCAGCGTCTGTGTTGGATGGAGTCACAACCACAGACTTGCTGCCTGAGCGGGAAGCCGCCTTCAAATACTTTAAAGGCGTGTTTGAGACCCCTAACAACCTATGCGGCAACATCTCGAGAATGACGGAACCAACATGTGGTCAGCCGGAGCGCATTGAACCTGGGGAGGTTGCAGACGTCATTAGACACTGCAATGCAAACAGCGCCGCCGGTCCTGACGGCCTGCGCTCCACGAGCCTCAAGCGGGCTCTAAAGAAGGGCGTCGAATATGAGATAGCAGCGCTGTTTACACAGTGGCTGAAGCACCGGAAAGTACCGAAATCGCAATGCGAAAGTAAGATGGTGCTCCTCCCGAAACCGGAGGCTACCTCTAAAGATTTGAGCAAGTGGCGTCCAATATCTATGGGAAACGTACTTGGTAGGGTATTCACCAATGTTTTAGGCCGGCGCATCGCCAGAAGTGTTCGTCTGATTGCAAGCCAGCGGGGTTTTCGGAAATGCCCTGGCATCTCTGAAAACTTACTCCTGCTGAAGACAGCGATGCGTGAAGAGAACACCGAAACTGCCGAAACCGGAGTGGTAATGCTCGACTTTGCAAAAGCCTTTGACACGGTGAGCCACCCCCATATATTCGCCGCACTCGAACGCTTGAATGTCTGCAGTGCGTACGGCACCGTACTTGCGGATCTTTAAAGTAAGAGCTCGACAAAGCTATCCATTGGGGGAACTCTTTCGCACGAGATAAGGTTCAAGAGCGGGATGAAACAAGGCGACCCAATTTCGCCTTTGTTATTCAACTGTGCGATCGACGTGCTGATCCAGAGGCTTTGCTATAGCGGACACGGAGTGTTTTTACGGGGAGCACCGGAATTCCGGACTCCTGTCCTGGCCTACGCAGACGATCTCGTCCTGCTTGAGTGAACTGAAGGCCCTATTAGGCATCGTGGATGACTTTTGTGAGGAATTCGGGATGAAGCTCAACGCCAGTAAGTGCGTCTCCGTGTTGCTACGCAAGTGCGGGGATCACTTCGTGGTCGACACAACCACAAGAGTGTTCCTGAAAGAGGTAGAGATTCCACAGGTCGGACCCGAAGGCTCCATGAAGTACCTTGGGGTAGAGATTACCCCTCTTCCATTCAGGTGTGAACTGAAAACGGCCGAGACCTTGGGGGGTTGGATCGAAAGCATCAGCAGATTGCGGAGTGGTCCGAAGCCTGACCAAAGGGTCGAGCTTCTGACCACCTACGCGCTGCCGCGGTTGCTCCACACCCTCCAAGCCCACCAGGTCAGCGCAACACAGCTGAAAGTACTCGACCGGATGGTTCGCAGAGCGGTCAAAGGATGGCTGAAGCTGCCTAGCTCTACTTGCAACGGGCTACTATACGCCGCTCGAAAGGATGGCGGGTTGGCCATCCCCTCCTTAAGGATGAACTGTGCGCGTGCCCACGCCCGCACTCGAGCAAAGCTTTTAATGTCGGACCACTCCGCAGTGCCTCCTTGCGGGACTTTGTCCCGGGAGGGGGTAGAGTCGGCAACTGGAGGCGGAAAGAGTTCGACCGATGGGCACAGCTCCCCGTACAGGGAAAAGGGATCATCCATTTTAGGAGCTCGAAGGCTAGCAACAGCTGGCTTCGACGCCCCGAGGGTCGGAAGGTTAGCACGTGGATTAGAGCGATGATGATGCGAGCTGACGACAACAGGGCAGAATCCTGCCGACTATGCAGGTTCCCTCATGAGACCCTGCACCACCTTCTAGCAGCCTGCCCCGCACTCCAGCGTATGCGTATTCGCAGGCACAATAGAGTCGTGAACACACTCTCCCGTATTTGTTCAGAATACGGAGTCCGGAAGGAGTACCCGGTCCGGCTTCCAAACGGTCGTTTGTTGAGACCGGACCTAATCCTACTTGATAGTAGGAGGGCGATCGTAATCGACGTTACAATCCGGTACGAGACAAATGAACCAGATGTCCTGACGAACGCGTACGTGGAAAAAGCGTCGAAGTACCAACCTCTGGTTGCAGCCCTGACGCTTGAGGAAGATCTGACGGAGGGCGTCACCATACACGGTTTCGTCCTCGGCTGTCGAGGCGCCTACCCAGAGATCAGGTGCTTGATGATATCGGGATTTGTCGTGCGGCGACCAAATCCCTTTTAGCACGGAGGGCCATTCTCGGGTCCCTTGACATGCTGCGGCTCCTAGGAGAGCGCAAGAGCACTTGGGTAGACGCCGACGATTGAACAGGCAACCAACCTTCTAAACCAACCACCAGCTCCATCTACGTAAGCGACGAGTGGGATCGGATGTGTACTGAATGGCTATATTTTATGATGCAAGGCTCAAGGTGCAATCCCCCGCCTCCACCACATTCATTTCCCCTCCAACTATCGTGCAAATTCTTGCACCCTGGAAGCCCGTGATCAGACCAATGCCTCTAATAGGTACATCTGGCCACATGGTGACCACGCCAAAGCGGACCTATTCCGGCAGGCCGGAAGGGGCGCCAGTCCTGCGAAGGGGGCACGGAAAAAGTCCGCGGAGGCAGGCCCGACTCATGGGTCAAAATAACCACTTCCTGACTACTCCACACTGCACTAATGATGCCATCATGCGGTCACTGGTTTCAGTCGGAACGGCCGACCAACGGCGGCCATTGATGATTGAATGTGAAGGGGCCAAACTGGTTGCGAGGGGGGAAAAGGAGGTCGACGTACTGACTCCCCAGTGTACCCCTACATGTGCCTAATAAATACCGGAAATACCACTGGGTTCTTTTTGGAATACGTCTGTAATTGCCCTCTGGCTCTGCCAAGGCTCCCTTCCTTCGGGTTGGTCTGGCGCCACGCCGGGAAGAGCTAGATTAGGGGTTACCCCAGCCACTCTTCACTCCCTGTCGCTACCCCTTGGTCAAGCCAATATTGAGTTGAATTTGAACAGCGCAAGCCTGTAATGAAGTCGTTAATGAAAGGTGAGTAAATGGTAATGCATTAGAGGTTAAAATTGAACCACCTCCATGAGGTCCATTATTAAATGTGGCCGATGGCAAGAATAGTTGCGTAGTTTAAAAGCAGATGGCGTTAAGTGAGTCTCCTGCAAGGCAATACAAGCAGGTTGAAATTGGGAAACAATGTCTTTAGCATCTGACAGTTTGTTTCTCAAACCGCGACAATTCCGTGAAATGAAGCATATTGACATTATGAGATATAAAGGGATGATTCAAAAGTAACGTCATTATTAAAAGGTTAGTCGAGTAGACATTCGTCGTCAGAAGGATGCAAAGACAATTTCACTTCAACGTGCACCTTCTGCAAATCAGCAGAAGTGGGTTGATTAAAAAGTTGAATGTACTTTGCATCTTTTTTCTTTCGAGAATATCCAGGCTTAAGACTTGGGGGTAGTTTTTTGAAGGGATTTGTTTTGGACAACGTCGATTTTTTTCAGAATTATCTAGTTTAGATGTTATGCTAGGTGGAGGTGAAGTGGTTCTACACTGCTGGACAATTGCTAAGGACGGATCACAAATTGCAATGTAGCATAACATTAAGCGAGACATGAGACCTAGTAGGATAAAGTATAGTTGCCACACTGTTCAGACATTAGAATAAAGAACATTCATTGTTCTGGAAAGTACAAAAGCTATGAAACATCTGAAAGAAAAAAAATGTTCATTTGATGCTGCGTACGGAATAATGGAACAATGCATTTAAATGTCAGCAGGCAACTTGAAGAAAGGTGTCAGTACGGAATATGTCCACCGTGGAGTGGGATGCAACATTCTACAGGTCGTACCATACTTCGCACAACATTATCCAATAGCTGTTGAGGCAATTTATCCCATTCCTCTTTCAGTGCACGGATGAGGGTGCTCTTGTTTGTCGGAGGATAGTTTCAACCAGCAAATTGCTTCCCCAAAGCATCTCAAACATTTTCAATGTGGTTTAGATCTAGAGAACGTGATGGCCATACGAGGCGTTGAATACCCTCACTGTCTAAACAATTCTGAACAGCGAGTGTTCGATGACATGTTGCGTTGTCGCCCATAAAAACAAATTTATCACCGACAGCACCACGGAAAAGACG